TAAGGATGACATATATAACTCATTTCTTATGCATATTTAGTTCATACTAAGTGCATAGTACTGTATGCATATTTACTTCATACAAAATGTAGACTAGGGGGTCAATGGTCGACGCCGGAAGTTAACGGTCAACGCCAAAGTCAACGGTCAACGCCGGAAGTCAACATTTTTTTGCCGGAAGTCAACGGTCAACGTCGATGTCAATGGTCAATTGTCAAAATAATATTTAAATAATTAAAATAATAAAAATAAAGAAGTAAGTAATAAAAATAAAGAATTATTATTTAAATGAAGAGTTAAATCTTGACCACACATCATGTACCAATCTAGTGGCTAGGAATGAGTCTCACATTCACACTTTAAATATGTGTACTCATTGGATCCAATCCCTATATACATACATACATATATATATATATATATATATTATTACATCAATTAATAAAAACATATATTTATATTTTATATTTATATTTTTTATTTTATTTAAATGAAATTATCATTTATTTATATATTAAATAGCAATATATTTATTTATTGTTTTTAAACTTCACATTTAATTTAAATTATTATTATTTTATTTCAATAACTTTATTATAATGATTTAGTTTGTGATTATATTTTTATTTTTTGTTTGATTAAGTTTTCCTCTATTCGTATTATTTTAAATAAATGGGGGTTAATTATGTACCGTATAATGATGGTAGCAGAATGGCTTGAAGTCTTGCGTAGTTTGGTTTTGCCCAACAAGCAAAACCAAAATAGTAAATTTTTGCCCAACAAGCAAGGGGCAAAATAGTAAATTTTATTTTCAAAATAAAAAATATATGAAAAAATTGAATAATGGTTGCATTACATTAATGTGTACTGCACGCGCCGTGAAGTTGGATGGAGAGGAGGGAATCGTGCAAAAGTTAGTTAATACGAGAGGGTCTGACACAATTTTTGAATACCAAAGGAAAACTTGCAGATTTCATATAATACAAGGAGATTATGTATATTTTACCCCAATTTTATTATTCAATCATCTACCTCAAGTCATGACTGGTCTCTTGGGAACTCATTGCCCAATACATATCACATGCGAGATAATAATCAAACTCAATCTCTTAATCTCATAGTCATAAATATTCCAATTAGTCAAACATGCTTCGAATTATCCAACAACAGTTTTAAAGAAAATCACAAGTTATAGCAGAAGCAATTTCAAATCCTCAGCATAAAGCAAGTATAATGATCCCACTCGTTCGTCTGCCTCGCTGCCAGCTCAGCCTAAAAAGAGATAAAATAATAGGGTGAGCAAACCACTAGCTCACTGTGGGAATATCGTGCACATCTATTCAGTATAATAACATAAAACATAATCACAGAATGTATATGGATCACAACAAATATCACATCTCAAATGCTCAAGTATATACCTATATAAGCGCAGAAGGTCGAATCGACATCCAGTAATGGGAGCACATGTAAATGGTCGAATCCGCATCCAAAGACGTGGCATGAAATTAGGCTAAAAGAGATTGCCTCAAAATAGACACCGTCGACGGTCGAATTCGCATCCGCCGACGGGGATACCATATCGAAGGTCGAATCCACGATAGGGTCATGGTATGGAACCTTCATACAGTGATTATGGAACCTAGTAATTATAAAGAACAATGCACAATACACTGATTATGGAACCTAGCGATAGGGTCATGGTTCAAGTGAAAAATTAGGGTGGTTGTCCATATGAAGAAATTGGACAGAGAATAAGGGTGTCCATATGAAGAAATTGGACTGAGAATTAGGGTGGTTGTCCAATTTCAAGGAAAGCCCCAGACAAGTATTGTAATAATGCCCCTCAATCTTTTATTGAACTTATTGACAATCCATTTAGTGTAACACCCCACGTTACTAGCTTTGAAAAATCAGAGTAAAAGGTTTGTTTTTATTTACGAAAGATCGTATGAGTTGGTTTTCTAAAATTCTATCTTGTTGCGGGAATGCTATAGATAAAAACTTGCTACTGCTGGGCGCGGTCCGGGGCGCTGGTGGGCACGACCAGACGCTGGTGGCACGAGCACGACACCACTGGACCACTCGGGCCCTGTTAGCACGGACAACGCTACTCGCGCGGCGCTGGCGCCGCTGGTGCCCCTCGGGCGCTTCCGGGCGACCCTAAGGGCACGGGTGATAAGGATCGTGTGTTTCGACTGTCGATAAGCCGCTAACCCGCGCCTTGAATCGCCGTTAGTGTTTCTCTGGCCACAACCGCGCCTATTGAAACGAATAAACATGCAATAGTATTCTTGTGAAAAGACTAAAGCAAAGTTGGAAGAACAAAGTTCTATATTTCTATTGAATTCTTGGATAAATTAAAATAACATGGGTAAGGGGCCTTTATATAGGCACAAGATTTGTCTAAGTCTAATCTACCTAGGAAAATAATAAAGCAATAAAATATTGGAATCCTAAACAAGCTA